AAGGTAAGGTAAGGTAAGGTAAGGTAAGGTAAGGTAAGGTAAGGTAAGGTAAGGTAAAGCAAAGTAAGGTAAGGTAAGGTAAGGTATGGTAAGACAAGGTAAGGTAAGGTAAGGTAAGGTAAAGCAAAGTAAGGTAAAGTAAGGTAAGGTGAGGTGAGGTAAGGTAAGGTAAGGTAAGGTAAGGTAAGGTAAGGTAAGGTGAGGTGAGGTGAGGTGAGGTGAGGTGAGGTGAGGTGAGGTAAGGCAAGGCAAGGCAAGGCAAGGCAAGGTAAGGTAAGGTGAGGTGAGGTGAGGTGAGGTGAGGTAAGGTAAGGTAAGGTAAGGCAAGATAAGGTAAGGTAAGGTAAGGCAAGGCAAGGTAAGGCAAGGCAAGGCAAGGCAAGGCGAGGTAAGGTAAGGTAAGGCAAGGCAAGATAGTAAGGTAAGGTAAGGTAAGGTAAGGTAAGGTAGTAAGGTAAGGCAAGGTAAGGTAAGGTAAGGTAAGGTAAGGTAAGGTAAGGTAAGGTAAGGTAAGGTAAGGTAAGGTAAGGTAAGGTATGGGAAGGTAAAGTAAGATGATATTTTATTGTCCCAGCGGGACATTTTTCCTATATTCCTGGACAAAGGCTACAGTCAAACCTGCGGTAACGGCCACCGTCACATTTCACACATTCTGATTCACCTGAACAAACAACCACTTCAAAATCCCCCTGTATATTTTTCTTTTCACCACAGTTGCCAACATGTTGAGATGGACTGAGGTAATTTGAGGGGGGGAATTACTTCTTACCGTGAGTGCGTGTGCATGTGCGCATTTGTGTGTGTGTGTGTGAGAGAGAGAGAGAGGAGAGAGAGACAGACAGAGAGAGATAGAAAGAGAGAGAGAGAGAGAGAGAGAGAGAGAGAGAGAGAGAGAGAGAGAGAGGGGGGTAGAGAGAGAGAGACAGAGAGAGAGAGAGGGGGGTGGAGAGAGAGAGAAAGAGAGAGAGAGAGAGAGAGAGAGAGAAAGAGAGAGAGAGAGGGGTGAGGTGGGGAGAGACCTACTTCATGCTCTCTGTGTGTGTATGTGTGTGTGTGAGAGAGGTAGGGACTTACTTCATGCTCTGTGTGTGTGAGTGTGTGTGTGTATGTGTATGTGTGAGTGTGTGTGTGTGTGTGTGAGAGAGAGGTAGGGACTTACTTCATGCTCTCTGTGTGTGCCTTGTACTCCATGATGGTGTTGGGGGGCAGGTTGAGAACACGTTGCAGCGTGTCGCGGATGCGTGACGTGATGGTCTGGTCGTTGCTGCGGTTCCACAGAGACAAGATGTCATCCTGGAAGGGAAAACACGGGGGGAGGGATAGAAAAACCTCATAACTTACACAACACTCACGGAGTTGGAAAATTAAAAAAAAGAAGATATTCTTATATTATGAGAGGCATCGTGGTGAAATCATGCGCTCATCAAAATAATGAAATCCGAGAAATCTGCATTTTTCGGCCAGTTTGGATTTTTTTTCAAATTTGTGTTTTTTGGCTCAACACCATGTATGTCCATTCAAAAACACTTAAATGTGTGGATTTTATGGAAAAACGTTTATAAAAGGCACAAAAAAAGTAAATTTGCAAATTCCAAGGACCCTCAGGCTATGGAAATCACCAAACTTTGGAGGCCATTTTCTTGCTAATTTTGCTTCTGAAACCAGGCGACCCCACCTCCTTCAATTGCAAAAATATCTCGACTTCCATTCAAGATAAATGGATATTTTTTTAATCAAAAGCAAGGCAAACGAATAACCTTAAGAAGGTACCAATAACTCCAAGTGCCCAGAAATTGACGAGCGCCTAATTCCACTGCGTCGTGACACATATTATCTTGTTTGTTTTGACGGTTTGCGTGGTGAAGAGGTGCACATTGACACAATAAGAGCCAGGCAGGGAAAAAGTAAGACAGATACAAGTAACAGAGGTAAAGAAAATGAGTAGGAGCTGCTAATGTCACCCTCCAAAAATGCACAATTTGATGGACTCAAATGATTGTAAAATAGGGAAAAAAAAATGATCATATATTATATATACAAATACAATCCAGTCCCAAAATGAAAGTACACTTGGAAAGGTTTCCCCAATCAATAGCTTACAAAACATCAGAAATTACGTAAAACGATTCTTTTTTCAATTAAGAACTAATCAACTAAATACATTGTTCACAAGAGAAAAAAACAACGATATGACTTGGAGAAACAATGACGACTGGTAAAGAGCGACAGGGAAAAGGGAGCTGATCGCGGGACAACCAACTTGTGTCCTGCACGCTCATAACAATGACTTTAGGCACTTGTAATAATAATAATAATAATAATTATAATAAATGACAATTATATAGCAATAAACCCCGATTAAAGTACACAGGAGAGCTTTACAATACAGCCCAAGGTACACTTGTAAGCGCCGTAAAACTTTAACTTTTACCAAACTGACAGTAACCATACGCCACAGACGTCTGTGCTCACCTGAAACCGTATGGAAATGACGGCGCCACAAATCTCCTCCCCAACCATGAACTGCTCCCCAAGCATGGCCAGGATGAGGTTCTCCCAGCACCGAGATGCCAGGCCTTTCTTCAGACGGATGATCCACTTGCCTCCGTGCTTGTTCGCTTCGTCCTGCTCACACATCAAGAGGTACAATGAGAGAAGAAGTTTCATCATAAATTCACTAAAATCAGCATTCCCTTTGAATTATTCAACTCATGCAGTGCAAAAGCCATTGTTGTAACCCAAATGTCCCCATGGGTACCATACAGTTCTTGTTATCGACCCAGCAACATCTGGGCTCTCGCCCTTCTGTCCAATACAATGTAGGGGTGCCATACAGAAAAAACATATTTTTCTTCTGCTTTTTCCTTCTTCCGTTTGAGATAAGGAGTAAAGGAGAATGTAGATATAAAAAACAAATTTATATTTCTTTTTTAAAACCTAGTCATTTGTGTTGCCAGTTTTTTAAGAGCCTTTTCTACACTGTTACAGCACAAATAAGTCATTTTGAGGACAGACAATTATAGGATCTATCTCAGACCCTCAGTTTATTTTAGTTTAAGTAAGAGTTTTACCGCACTTACAACACAATAAAGTCATATAAGTGCCGAAGAATAGAGGTGTTACAAGAGAGTAACAAACACAAAAAAGAAGGAGGGAAGATTAAGACGATAGATGTTTGATAGCAAAGAAGAAGCAAACCACACCAGAGCACCCGCCAACTACCCACTCAGACCCTCAGTCAAGAAACAGCCACAAAAGAGCTGTACAACAGGGGCAGGGGGGACAGTAGACCACTTCTATCTCCCAGTCCCAGACTAGCCCTGGTGTCACATGACAATAACAAAAACTGACGTGACTATCTTCCAGTCCCAGACTTTAGTTTTAGTAGAGGTTTTACGGCGCTCGCAACTGCATAAGGTCATATGAGCGCCAGAAGATTAGAGGTGTTACAAGAGAGTAACAAACATAAAAAAGAAGGGAGTGCTTATTTAGGCCACATATGGCCTAAATAAGGTAAGGGAGGGGGGTTTAGCTTATTTAGGCCACAGTGGACTGTGGCCTAAATAAGGTAAGGGAGGGGGGTTTAGCTTATTCAGGCCACAGTGGACTGTGGCCTAAATAAGGTAAGGGAGGGGGGGTTTAGCTTATTTAGGCCACACATGCTCAAACTACCCTTTTCAGGCAACTGAGTTCGTTCCACTTTCATAATGGTGCACCTTTCTTATTTAGTACAGTTTTGCCTCAGTGTACAACTTGTAAATCATAACCATAATGAATATTGTAAAGAACAAAGCACAATACGCAAAATTTTGCTCAATCCTAATGGTTTGAATGAGGGCCAGATTTTTCCTTCATGGAGGGGCAAAAGCTAGGCTACCATTTTGGCACACTTTGGTCAAGTGAAAAGGTCAAATCCTCTGAATGGACTTCCGGGTTAAATTTGGGGTATAAAAAGAGTGTACACAACGTGGCTGAGTCAAAGTTACACTATCTTTGCCTGGGTGGCACTCTCTCGTACATGTAGGCTAGTAGGCCTAGTAGTAGTAGTAGCAAAGATCGTGTAGAGAATATTTGGTAGTAGATTCTATCTATAGGCAGTTTAGTGAACGTGCTCGCAGCAGGGCAAATCGGCCTCGATAAGCCCCGTAGACTTTTGTGATCGGCCACGAAGCCTCGTGTTTTGATGGGTCTAGATCTAGATCTAAACAACTCAGTGTTAATCACACTGCCACATCCGACAGGCCTAGATCTACATCTTTTTAAAAGGAAAACAAAGATCATCAAAATGGTTGAATTCGCCTGAAAATCGATTCGGTAGAACTAGAACTATTAAAATTTGCTTCTGAAAACAAGGCAATTTTTATACGAAGGCCATTTTTATAACTCGGTGAAATAAAAACTACTGGCTGTGTACTGTGTTATTCTGTATAAAAATAAATTATGAAACTTCAGGACGTATTATTATTTTCCAGCATCTTTTGACGCCTGAGCTGTAGAGGTTGAAGTTTTCACAACACTAATAGATCTAGTAATAGGCCAGGTAATAGGGCTTTCCGTAAAAAATGCATAGATCTACAAAAGCCGAACCACCGAATCGACCGAGCACCTCGCTCTCCCCTGCACACTGTGATAACGTGTTGCTTCGGTATCGCATTATTCAACTATTAATACGTGCGGCTATGGCAATTGGGATGTAGGCCTACTGACTGACAAAAAATTGAGTTTTGTTTTTATTTTACCATATATTTGACTTTAATAGTGCAGGCGATAGCAAGATCTAGATTCCCTGTCTAGAATCAGTAGTAGCAGGCCTATGCTAGAAGTAGCCAGAGAGCCTACAACTGCTAGATTTAGATCTAACTTATTATTGCTATGCCTTTGGGCTTTGGAATTGAAATAAAACGAATTGCACAGTTCTAGTTACTTTTAGATTCAGCAAGTAACTGTATTTCCAGAGTTAATAATAACAAATCTCAGCATAACAATCACTTTTACTTTTATTAGAATAATTAGATCCAACTTTTTTTTCTAAAATCTGTTTTGCGCAAACTTAAGATTTTCTCTACTTGTAGAGCAGAGAATTTACATTGTAAGCCTCTGCTCAGTCTTTTAGTATACATATAATAAAATACACACACACACACACACATATATATATATATATATATATATATATATATAGAGAGAGAGAGAGAGAGATCTATATATATCATCATTTTATGTTGTTTTCGAGATATTTTTAAAACTCTTTTTTTTCAACATGTCATAAAATCAAATTGTGCCATTTTCTTTGAAAAGAATAGCATTAGTCTCTGATTCAATATAAAAAAAAAAAAATGCTAATCAATGAAAATTGCAAATTGATAATAGTTTAGTCCTGAAGAGGATAGGTGGACTCCGGGGTCTGCAAAGCGAAATACTAGGTTTTAGGATGTAAACCCCGGAGTCACCGTAGTGAAATAAGGTTTGGTTTAAGTAAGGATTGGTGGACCCCGGGGTCAACGTAGTGATAAATATAAGCAGGTTTAAGGTGGACCCCGGGGTCTACCTAGCGAAATACTAGGTTTTAGGACAGGTGGACCCCGGGGTCACCGTAGTGAAATAAGTATGTTTCTTTAAAGATTGGTGGACCCCGGGGTCAGCGTAGTGAAATAAGTAGGGTTAATTTTAAAAGGATTGGTGGACCCCGGAGTCACCATAGCCGTAGAGGAATAAGAAGGTTTAATTAAGGATTGGTGGACCCCCGGGACACCTAGATTAAACCTACTTATTTTACTACGGTGACCCCGCAGGTTCCACCTATTCTAAAAACCTAACTAGCATTTCGTTAGGTAGACCCTGGGGTCCACCTTAAACCTACCTATTTCACTACGTTGACTCCAGGGTCCACCAATCCTTAAAATTAAACCTAGATCTACATGTACTTATTTCACTACATTGACCCCAGGGTCCACCAATCCTTAATTAAACCTAGATCTACTGATTTCACTACATTGACCCCGGGGTCCACCAATCCTTAATTAAACCTATATCTACTTATAATTTCACTACGTTGACCACGGGCTCCGCCAGTCCTACTATAAAATAAACTGAGATTTACTTATTTCACTATGTTGACCCCGGGGTCCACCGATCCTTAGTTAAACCTAGATCTACTACTTATTTCACTACGCTCACTCCGGGGTTCACATCCTAAATCCTAGCATTTTGTTAGGTAGACCCCGGGGTCCACCTATCCTTTTGGCTAGATAGACCCCGTAGTCCGCCTATACACTTTCTTGATAATAACTGAAAACAATACATGCCAGTTGTCATGAATAGTGAAGAAAAATGATGGAAAAAAAAGACAATGAGGTAGACTATAATTTATCAAAAAAATTGCAAGTGCAAGTGAAGATCATAAAATAATTTTGTTATCTTCTGGTCATCTTTCCCGGTTTATAAAAAAAATTCAGTGGGCCTACTACTAGATCTGTGTCTCTGAAGAACATTTTGCTTGCCTTTATTAGCTTTTTTCATGTACATGAAAGCATAGAATATATAGTTTCACACAAATATATGCACAATACTTTGAAAAAGAAAGATATGGTCATTGTTTTTTTACGGAATCCGTTTTACGTTGAGAAAAGCGCTAAAAACAAGTTAAAAATTTTTAAGAATGCCTATAATATTAGTATTAGGAATCCGAAATTACTACCTAGTTGGCTTACTTTTTAATAACCATGAGCAGTTAAGAAAAAAAAAGACAATGATATAGGATTTGTCTAAATATGACCATTAGCTGCCCATTTTGTCCAATTATCCTTGCAGGTAAAATCACCCGGCACTGTACCTCAATAAGCACAAAAGGAATATTTCTGTGACTTTGTATAAAGGTGTGGCCTAAATAAGGTAAGGGAGGGGGGTTTAGCTTATTTAGGCCACAGGCGTGGCCTAAATAAGGTAAGGGAGGGGGGTTTAGCTTATTTAGGCCACAAGTGTGGCCTAAATAAGGTAAAGGAGGGGGGTTTAGCTTATTTAGGCCATATGTGGCCTAAATAAGGTCACCCAAAAAAGAAGGAGGGAAGAAAAGACGATAGATGTTTGATAGGAAAGAAGAAGCAAACCAGACCAGAGCACCCGCCAACTACCCACAGTCCCAGACTAGCCGAGGTGTCACATGACAACAACAACAACAACTGACGTGACCCATGTCTCACCTCCCACATTGGCCGGACGCCTTCCTTGAACAGATGATAGTCCACGTGGCCAGTCATGTCCCCCGCCCGCACGATGTAGCTGTAGATGTTCCAGAACTGCTCCACCTGATCAGGCAAGACACAGTTGAAAAATCTACCGTTGAAATTTGTCTTCTTTAGTCTGTATTAGTAAGAGTTTTACATAGAGATGCAAGTGCCGTAAAACACAAGTCTTACTAAAACAAAACAAAAATTTTTTTAATATAAAAAAAAAAAAAAAAAAAACAATACAAAAAACAACAACAAAATCTAAAGAGTTTTACAGCACCTGCAACACAATAAAGTCATATATATAGAGTGCTGAAGAATAGACGTATTACAACAGAGTAACAAACACAAAAAAAAAGGTCGGGGACATAAGGACGATAAATAAATATTCGATAAAAAAGAGAAGCCAAGCCACAGCAGAGCACCACCCTCAAACAGTCTGCACACTGTCTTCTAAGACAGCCACCCATTGTCGAGGAGAAAAGTGGCTGTCTTAGAAAAGCGGAAGTCTGTTTTAGTCTTAGTAGAGGTTATACGGCGCTCGCAACTGCATAAGGTCATATGAGCGCCAGAAGATTAGAGGTGTTACATTAGAGTAACAAACATAAAAAAAAAGAAGGGGAGATCAGGACGATAGATGTTTGATAGGAAAGAAGGAGCAGACCACACCAGAGTACCCGCCAACCAGCCACAAACAGAAGTCTTACAGAGTGGCATTATTAGGTTCAAGATACTCAAGGGAGGAAATGAGAAGAGGCTATTTGTATACGTGATTGTCTTATTTATAAGTCTTACACATGGCCAAAAGAGCAGATGGGACTGTAGTTTCAAGCAAACAGGTCATTTGGTTCAAAGAGTGCCCTGCTTACAATGAAACCGTCTTCTATAATATACAGCACACAAAAGCATCATCATCATCATCACTGCCTTTCTCACCCTGCACCAGGGTATAGGCCACGGACAAACACTTTCTCACCCTGCACCAGGGTATAGGCCACGGACAAACACCTTCCACCTTTCTCTATCCTGGACTAGCCTCTTGATGTTATTCCATATCTTCCCACTTTTCTGTACATGTATCGATACACAAAAGCAAGGTCACTTTATTCCAACGGAGGGTCAAGAAAGTATAGCACTTTTGTACAGAATATTTTTGTGATGCCTCACAATAAGTTAGATACACACGGATAGTCTAGCACAACAATCGTACACAGAAAACAGCAACCGACCATGTTGGATGTTAATGACACTACTGAATCACAACTTTAAATGCTCATCCTGAAGAGTACCAAATTAATACATTCAAACAAGGAGACATAACTGCGGCAATTAACGATAGTGAACCAAACACAGTTATTGCTCATTTAACTAATATTACAGGGATATATTACAATTTTCTTCCTGAATTCCCCAAATTCCACAGAACATAGTAAAGGGACTGACCGATGCAAAAGACGCGATGAACTTGAGATTCTGGTCGTATCTGACGGACTTGTTGTTCTGTGAGCGGCGGGAGTACCAGAGGGCGTAGTTGTACTGGAGCGGGTGTTCTCCTTCTCCGGGTTTCTGGGGGAACAATGGGGGGAGGGGGAGGTAAGTAGTCAGAAGGCAAATACTGACAAAATCTGTTTCTTTGCAATAAAGAGTTTTAGTTTTAGTAGAGGTTTTATAAATCTGTCCCCGTCATTTTATGTAAGAAAAATTATGAAATTATGCAAACTGAGCCCAAAAATGTGAAATTATGTGACTCTGTTAATTGTAACAAAGAATGATAAAGGAAAATAATCAAAAATATTATGCAAAAAAATGATCAAATTTTGCTAAATTATGCAACACTTTGCAGCTGAAAGGGAAGTGTAACTCACCGGCGCTGGTCTGAAGGATTCCTCATCATCCTCACCGCTGTCATCTCCCTTCAATCTGTTTGTCCCGTGCATCAAAGGGCGGCAGAAGAAACAAAATGATTTGATGTATATTGAACAATGGAATAGAAGAAAAAGATTAGTATTAGTGAGAGTTTTACGGCACTTGCAACACAATAAAGTCAAGAAGAAAAGATGTCTGAAGGAAGTATTACTAGTATTAGTCTTAGACTACAAACATCTGACACTGATGATGTATCACACACAGAATTCTTCACAACATGCTGAGCTCAGTTTATAGTTTTGAGTGAGAGTTTCAGGGCACTTGCAACACATTAAGCTCATATATAGATAAGTGCCGAAGATTAGAGATGTTAAAAGAGAGTTACATACAAAGAAAAGAATGAGCAGACATTGGATGATAAATGTTTCAATGGAGGGAAAGAAGGAGCAAACCACAAGAGAGCATCCGCCAACCACTCACCTACGTGCTGAGGTGAACAACACTTCCAAACGTTTTAGTTTAGTTACTAGTAAGTGTTTTACGGCACTTGAAACACAATAAGGTCATATAAGTGCCGAAGATTAGAGGTGTTACAAGAGAGTGATAAACACAATAAAGAAGGAGGGGAGACAAAGACGATAGATGTTTGATAGGAAAGAAGAAGCAAACCACACCAGAGCACCCGCCAACCACCCACTTCCAAACGTTTACATTTAGCAACTACTGCAAGGTAGAAGATTTTTCCAAGTAAAGCAAATTGAGATAAAACAATAAAAGAAACCAGCACAGCAAAGAAAGGGTATTATGAAAATCCTCAAGAAACACGTCACAAAATGGGAAACATTTAAACACAGAGACAAAATGTCTGAGACAGTCGTACAACAAACAGAGTTACTTCAGCTCAGCAGCCATGCTGACAAGACAGCCAAACAATGCTCCATCCAACTCTCCCAAACAATGCTCCGACACTCCCACAGGGCTATCCCCATGGATTGTGGTACTACTTTCTGTGAGAAACAACAGGTGCTGCACCACTAACAATAAATATTGCACTTATCAGTAACTTCTATCCAGAGTTCTATTTATAGGAGTTTATAGGAGTGACTTCGTTGGTGATCATTTCACTTGTCAAATCACTCGAGGCAGCTGAGATAGAAGGAGGGAAGTCAAGACATCACAAAAAAGGGAAGATCATTTGTCCGGAAAGACGACACACTTAACAGAGAGAAAAAACTATTTTAACAAAAAAGAACAACCCACCAATATAACAGCCTCACTTGTAAAAATCTCAAAGCCAGTGTAGAAAATGACTGCAAATAGACTAGCTTTAAAAAAAGTAATAGATTAAAAAAGTACTTTTACCACTGGTATCAAAACAACTCTTAGCTATCTATTACTATCACTTTTATCAACTGTAAGGAGAGGTCAGTAAGTACAGAACTGTACCCGCCAACCACCCACAGTTTCATTATCATGGTTTCAAAGTTCAACATTCAACACTGTCTGTTTTCTTAAAAGGTTTCTCTGCCAGAATCTATTATAATCAAAGACTGCAAATATCTAAATATATCTCAGACTCTATTAAATAAATAAGGCTGGGTAGATAACACTAAAACGAACAACTCGAAATCATGGATAGCTTGTACAATCAGCTATTCCCGGACTGATATCTCTTCAATTTTTCGTTATCAGTCAACCTGAATTATATTCTGAATTACGGATGTGTAGAACATATTATTTGTCAAAATCCCTGACATGTATGAGTGATCTGCGCATGACTGTGTATGATATGTTGTCACTGAAGAACAATTCAGAGGAAATGCAGTCAGAGAGTGTTACATGTCTTTTCATGACTTTTGTTTCAACAATAAACAGAGAGAGTATAGTAAGTATTAAAGTATCAAATTACTGTTATATTTTGGAATAAATAACGTATAAATAAAACAGAAAAGTAACACCATAGTAAAAACATCCAGCTGGACTAGTTAGACTAGAGCTCTAAGTAAGGCAAAGCTGTGTTATGAAAAATTTCTGGACGAAAAAAAAAATGTTCAGCTGAGCGGCAAAGGCAGAAACTGAATGGTTGAAAAAAAACCCAAAGGAATCACAGGAACAGAATTGTTAACAAAAAACAAAACAAAACAGGAAACAAACCATCGACCACACCACGCATGATAACAGACATATAACAGCGAATGTGCTTGAGTGTTTTGAGACTCAGCACACACATTTGTGTATGCGTTTACATGTGTGTGTGTGTGTGCGTCATGCGTGTGTGCGTCTGTGTATGTGTCCGTTCTTACACATTCAGCCCTTAAATGACACAAGACCTACACTTCTCCCTCCATGACCTGACACGGACAAACTCTCTAATCAAGCATTACATTACAGTCAGCAACTGCAGCAAACCTGCACTTATCACTACATGGCACTTGACAGAAGGTGAGAGCCCAGCTGTTGCTGGATTGATAACAACAGCATTGTGTGTGTAAGTGTGTGAATGTATGTGAGCGTGTATGCGCATTTTATTTTTAAAAAGTTTTAGTGCGAGTTCTACGGCACTTGCAACACAATAAAGTCATATAAGTGTCGGTGTATGGGTATGTGTGTGTGTGTGTGTGTGTGTGTGTGTATGTGCATGGGCATGAATTTGAAACTGTCCTTTCATACACATAGATCTATTTCTCTGATTAAATACCACAACAGAAGCTGATACTGAAAACTAAAAGACATTACACATAGTTATTTCACTGCCACAATAAATTATAAGCCACTTTTCATCTAATTAATTATAGCACTACTTACTTTACCTTTCGTAAAACTTTGACAGCACTTGCAACCCAAAAAGATCAAATATAAGTGCTGAAGATTAGAGGTGTTACTATAAAGCAACATACAAAAAAGGGGGGGAAAAAAAGAAAGAAAGAGGGGAGAATAGGATGATAGTTGTTTGACAGGAAAGAAGGAGCAAACCACACCAGAGCACCCACCAACCATCTACCGCCTCATTAGTGAGTAGTGACAACGCAACAACAAATTATAATACTGCTCACCCACAGCCAAAAGGTGTAATGTAATCTTGTAATTATAGAAGTTAAAGTAGTCCAACTTGTAAAGTAGATTGAAAAACTACCAGGCAGACGTTAACCATTACCAACACTAGGAGTGTAATCAGCAACCCCCCCACAACCCAGCCACCACAACCAGAACAACATTAATCCAATACCCCAATCAAACAAAACACAACATAAAGCATCAAGGATCTGTGTGTCGACATCGAGTTTCATGCCCCCCCCCCCCCAATCCCAAATAAAAAGTGCCTTGAAGGATGAATAAATTAAAAAATCCACAGAAAAAGAAGATGAACAAACTGCAGACTTGAACGTTTTACAACATACGTCTATGCTGATTGTACTGAAATTAACATGTGAACACAGCACTCACATTTCTTTGACCAAGCAGAAAATGATACAATTTTTAAAACTAACGGCCCCATCCTTATATAAAAATGTTTTCTTCCCCTTGTAAACGACACAGCCTCATGGGCCCACAGTTAGAGAGTGCTTAGTGTAAAAATGTTATCTTCAATGTTGATCAATTTGCAAAAAGACCTTTTCGCCTCCTCTGACATGTGTCTTGATCGTGTCTCTTTATCATCATGTGCTCGACTACGGTTGTTGTGACATCACCCAAAAAGGACAAGAGAAAAAAGAAATTACAACACAGTCAGCAGATTCTTTGATTCTAGATACACAGTACACAGTCAGCAGATTCTTTGATTCTAGAGATACAGTACACAGTCAGCAGATTCTTTGATTCTAGAGATACAGTACACAGTCAGCAGATTCTTTGATTCTAGTGATACAGTACACAGTCAGCAGATTCTTTGATTCTAGATACACAGTACACAGTCAGCAGATTCTTTGATTCTAGATACAGTACACAGTCAGCAGATTCTTTGATTCTAGATACAGTACACAGTCAGCAGATTCTTTGATTCTAGAGATACAGTACACAGTCTGTAGAACAAAACATAAACAAAGAGGAGATCGTGTATATGGGTTAATGAGGCACAGGGTATTTTTGAGTGCAGAAAATTCCTGTTCAGAAAACATGAACACATTATAACATAGAATAAGGCTCACATGCCATGATGATGAGAGCAGTTTCTGTTACAAACCACCAAAAGATGCAGAGGTACAACTGCGAACTGATCTCACAACAGTGCCGTATGCTTTAAAAGTCGGTTGTTTCTTTCAATTTGTTGACAATTTTCAGTTTTAATTAAATTATAAAGGATCATGAGACTGTTTCTTTTTCCTTTCTTCTAATCTTTATCTTTGTGTACTTCCAGTACAAAGATCAAAGGAATTAACCCTGTCCGTACGTTGTGTTTTACTATCATATCCATACGACATGGGGAACTCTGTGCCACCACTTTAAAAAAAACACAATTCACTCGTTAATCCAATCCCTACGCTTTGCATAAAAGCACTAGAAGTATTCTAAAATGCGAAAGAACACAACCCTGGGGGTACAAAATGACCCCAAGGCGTATGGATATAGGGTTAATATAACAATCACACAAAGAAAGTAGATATTACAAGCAGAGGTTCTATTCAGAAACAAAGTAAACAATATAGATACATTTTCACCGTGTCCAAGGAACAATTTAGCATTTTTGTTCACAGGTCTGAACCTTAACTAATTCTAAGTTAGTAGCGACTCTTTAATTTAAAGTTGCAGACGACACATGAAATAAATGAGAAAGCCAGTCAATTTATTATAATAATATTTGAGACATCGTGTTCAGGCGCCCGTCAAAATTATAATGAAATCAACAAAACTCATTTTTCTGGGCGTCGGGCAATTTTTTTCGAATCTTGTTTTTTTGGCTTAAACATTTTTTATGCCCTTTTAAAAACACTTTTTTGTGTAAATTTTACTAAAAATTGTTGATTAAAAGCGTAAAAATGTAAATTTACAGTTTCTAGGGACTCTCAAGGTATGGCAGTCACCAAACTTTGGCGGCAATTTTCTCGTTATAATTTTACTTCTGAAATCAGGCGACCCCATCTTAAATTTCAAATATCTCAAGTTCTATTCAAGATCTTCCAGATGGGTATTTTTTTCCATCAAAATGTAGGCAAACCACCCAGCTTTAAGATGATACCAATAACTCCTCATGCCCAAAAATTGCTGAGCGCCTGATTCTACCGCGTCCTAATACAACATAGATTTATTAACTCCTGTCCCCAGTCTGTGCCGAGATGCGCGCGTCTTACTAGATATTAGTAACGCGCAGGCTGCCGGGGTCACTCAACGTTCACTGTTCGTGTACAGCGAGCGGCACAGGAAACGTGTGTTTTTGCCGTGAGTACCATGGGGGGGGGGGGGGTGTTGATCAATGATGAAAATAACATTATAACGCTCTATCTTTCTTTTACACTTTCTGACTTTCTGTTCATAAAGTGTTAAGAACACATGATGAATAACCCCCTCTCAAGTGATAAGACACCCCAGGCAAGCCCCCCTGAAACCCCCCTACTCTTGACTTTAACGAACGAAACTATATAATCGTCGTTAATTCTAGAATGTTATTTTCATAATCGATTACACATCCCCACTGTCTGGCCACAATGTTCATGGCGAAAACACACGTTTGTTTCCAGGGCCGCTCCTCGCTGAACACACTAACACTAACAGTACACGCTGAGTGACCCCGGCAGCCCGCAGCAAACGTTCAACGTAATAGGTTACTGATAAGATTCACATCTCAGCACAGACGCAGGACAAGAGTTAGGTTAAAGCAGGAGGAAGGAGATGAGCGTGAGAGTCAAAGTCAAGAGTAGCCTGTGTAGGATTAGGAAGGAGCAAATGATTGAATGGATTATAACTCACGCTTCGAATTTGTTGTTCATTTTGTGAAGGCTTTGTGAAAATCCCTTGATTATACGTTAATATCAAAATAGCATAGATTCTATATACA